CTTATAAAGTTTTATTGATTATATATAATCTTTACTTCTAAAAATATAAATTCAAGTCGATTTGAAAAAAATATAAGCTGTCTTCTTTGTAATTATATGAAAAAGAAATTAGTTTCTAGTTTCTCTGTTTTCACTAGTCATATATTTATTCACGAATTAGAATTAATAAAATACTCGTTACACACAGAACGTAGAGAGGAGAGGTCCAGATTCGAGTCCTCACTAGAGAATATTTTTCGCAATAAATTCTTTATAATTCTTTAAGATCCTCATTACTCTCATTAGCATCAACATTATTAATTGCTTGTCAATTTAATTTGTGCTATTACGTATGCCAACTTCAGTTTAGTTTCTTTCTTTTTCTCTCCAATGTGAAAAGAAAAAAGAAAGGGTGAACTCTGCAAGAAGTTCAGCTAAAAAGGGCAAAGTCCCCTATTCTTGAAAAGTATCGCATATTAGACAAATACTGTAGTACATGTAATGTACTATAGTATAGTATTTTCTTAGATTTGTTGTATACGATACTTTTCAAGAACAAGGGCCCAAGTCTGTTGTATTTCAAGCAGGGTTGGTAAAGACTAATGTTTTTTTTTAAGAATAAAACATATTGTGTTTCTTCTTGAATATGTTTTTAATGCTTCAAATATGCTTTAAACAGTACTATAAAAAAAAAACATATTTAAAACATATTAAAAACATCAATTAAGCATGTTTTAAACTGTTTAAAACACGTTTAAAACATGTTTTTTACCAACCGTGATTTCAAGACCGACAAATAATTGGCGCGCCATTTGCTTGATCTGGAAATTGTAAGTCACGCAAAAATATTATCAGACATCATCATTCGCTTTTGACCGAATATGGTCTTCTATGGTTTTCGTCACTTATTTGTGTTAATTAGGATTAATCTTAAGCGATGCGAATCTCGAAAAGATCTATCTTGAATCTATCTAGATATCTTCCAATATAAATAATGTAGCAATAAAAAATTGATTAATGGTAAATTTATAATTATGATAAAATTATGCGAAAAACACTCGAACGATCTCAGAGATTTACGATTAATGTATGCGTGCGCGCGTGTGTATGTGTATGTAATCAAATGTAATACCAATTTTATGTTACGAGCCTCGAAGAATAGCGGCGTCCACGACCAGTTGAGGGCGAGATTAAGGCCGTAGACGCTGAGCGGTACGGCCGCCCCCTCGAAGCCACCCCCGTCTCGCCACACAAGGTACGATGAATAACCCACTGTACAGTAGATGGTGGTCCACACGGGTCCGAATATCCAATTCGGCGGGGTGTACTTCGGCTTTTTCAGCGACTGGAACAAGAGTGACGGATTAAGCGCGGCGGACACATCTATACGTACAAAAGCGATATATTACGTGTTATTATATCATTAGCGGTAAGGTGTAATTTATTGTAAACACACTTGAGCATTTTCGCGATTGACGGTAGATAGAAGTGCTGCTTGGTCGTTCTTTAAGTTAAGCCTCCTATTTCTCTTTCACACGAAAAGAGATTTTGTGTAAGCGAAATAAAAGTATCGAAATAACGTATCGGCACTTACTTTGCAACATAAATATTCGAGAGAAGATTTCTGATTTTCTCTTGAATATTTGCAAAAACCTATCTTCTTACGTATCCTATAAAGCGATACTCACGGAATCATAGACTGTGCCCTCAATCACTGGTTACATAAGCATAATTACAGATTTATAGTTATACCAAGTTATACATAATTACTGAGTTTTTTGTAGTGAATGGTCGTGTTCAGCAGAATATTTATTTTGCAACTATTGGAAGTTTTCTTCGCTGAAATAAGATTCTTCTGAATCTAAAAATATAATAGCGTAAAGTGCTAAGGGGCCCGCACTTTTCATAACAGTGACTACGTTTACACGGCTCGATTAACGCCGAAGTTATAACATCGATGTTATGAAATAGGCGAATCATGGCTATTCCTCTGAAGAATGGAATTACTGTGATTAGCCAGTTCTCCATACATCGATGTTATAACTTCGACGTAAATCGAGCCGTGTAAACGTAGTCATTAATCGTACGACGTACCATAAGAATTAGCTCAATCGAAGCTCAAAGGTTTTAACAATTCTTGATTAGCTAATTTTTACGGTACATCTTATGGTTATTATTAGGGAAAATGTGTGTAGACCCCCTAAACACTGACTTCTTCTGAACGCGAGCATTCATAAATCTCTTTAAATTATTTAAATGCTCATCATTTAAGCGATCGATATTCATAATCATTTGATCTTCATTTATTACATCGAGTAATCTGTTAAATAAGCTTGACATTTAAATTGCCGATATGACAAATATTCTATATAGATCCTGTATATTTATTACATAAAATCTTTTTCTTTATTTATAGATGGATGTAAATCTAAAAAGTTTTGTAGTTCTTTTTTTTTGAAAGACTGTACATATGAAGATTACATAGAGAGAGAGAGAGAGAGACAGAAAGAAGACGTTGCGAAATAATAGAAAAACACATCCGTGAAAAAAGGTATATTATTTATGTATTACTTTTCTGAACAAGAGATTTTATGACGATTATAAATTCTTAAGAAAAGTAACCGAATTGATTATAGATTCGCGGAATTATTTGCTATAATTATTATTGATTATGAGTACAATACTCAGACAAGACAGAGAGAGAGAGTATCTTGTCCGAGTCCGTTTGTTGGAATTTGCATTTATGTATCGCGTATGTTATGAATAATTGTAAAGATAAATATTACACAATTTTAAGCTATCATAATCATGATTATAGATAATATATAGTTACGAAAGTTTAGATAAATACGTACAGTTATAATATTTCTAAATATAAATAATTTATAATATATATTTATTATATATAACCATAAAATTATAATTGTAAACTATTATAAATATCAGATTATAAAGAAATATAATTGCAAGTAATTATAAATAGTAATATTGTATAATTCCTGTGTGTTATTAAGATTTAATGAAGATAAATCAAGATACGAGATATACCGCGATTTTTCATATTGTAGCAAAGTGGATCGAGTGATCCAGGTAGCACCATATTTACATTTCGCTAGTTACCATTATATCGATTCGTGCATATATCAAATGACCTTCACCTACAAACATTCCTGCGAGTTTATATTTAGATTCTGCAGAAAAAGCGCATAGCAACGAAATATTTTTCCAAATAGATAACGCTTTAATTTCTCGTATCGCGACAATGACGTAATTTCACCGACGCACTTGCATGTCATCTCACCTCGTACCAGCTGATATTTTTTTTAACGAAGTAGCTGTCGATCCAACCGCCAATGTTAGGGCAGACCGTTGCCGTGAACATGGGCCAATTGATCGTTACCGGCATCTTGGTTTCTCAATGCGCACCTGTTCACTTTGATGTACAGACAGAATATAATAGAATGTGCAAAGTTCACGCGACGTGCACGCTCGTGGAGAACGTCGATAAAGACTGGTTGTGCTTACCTAAGCGTCGTAGATTGCGATGACTAAACTATTGCTTTTTCAGACAGTGACGTAGCTATAGTTGCCAATTCTAGTCGGTTCTTTTCATTGATTTATATTCTATCTACACGTGCGCTAATTCTCTCTCTTCCTTTGCCGTGCGTTTGAATTTTACTTCAGCTAGTATCTGTGCTTTGAACTTGGTGGATCTAGAAGTTGATGAGCGGTTTATTGATTCACCCATCAAGTATTTTTATCACTTGAAAGAAAAATAGCATCTTTGAAATTTTTTTTTAGATGAAGTCAAGATCATATCTAAAATTATAATGAAGAAAAAGGAAGTAGGAAAATAAGAATTTCTTAATAAAATCAACTCACTTGGTGTGCATGGATCACTTTCGCTCCTACTTAATTTGTCAAAAAAAAAATATACATTGTTAATTATTATATAATAAAATGCACGTATACACAATTTGCGTATGTTTTACATTAATTCATTATGTTATTCGCAGTAAAATATCATTCACGGTGTTTGACAAGACATGCATTTTCATGCTCACATGTGATATAAACGGAATAGAAGTGTTAAAAGAAAGAGAAACTTGTTAAAGAAAATTCGGATTAGCAACTCGGTGTCCAAGTAACTTTCAACTACGGATTATCGTTGTAGGATTAGGCGGCTCGGTATGCGTTTATTTACACATGAGTAAATACATTTCAATAAATACATTTGGAGCAAAATATGTCATAATTATATTACACAAGATTCGTCTTCGGTGCACTTTGCGCGATATCTCGTACGAAATAAACGTGATATCACATATGTATTTATGTATATGTATATTCATGTATATCTACACATAGAGTAACTATGTAATTTAAATGCATATATGTGTGTATATAGAGTATTTTGTCAAATATGAGCATAATTTTTCTTAATTTCGCTAGTACTTTATTTTAAGAAAACAGCCTGTACATATGCATTTGTACGTGTGTATATTTGGGTACACATATATATGTATATATATATATAATGTGTTTGGGTCAATATTTGCGCATCATATTGCGTGTCATGATAGAACCATAATATCGAGTTAGTAATTCAATTAAAAATAAATACGTATATTTGGAGTAATCCAAGTGAGTATATTATATGTAGATTCCGAAATGGAACAGAACAAATTGTGATGTGAATCTGGAATTGATTTTTCTTCAATCAAAACTATCGTGACGTCAAATGATGGCTTAATTAGAAATTTTAAATGGATATTTTTCAGAAGAAAATAAAATTTAAAAAAATCACGTTAATCTTAATTAATTTCGATTAATTAATTCAATTAATTGCCATATATGAACATATATATATATATATACATAATAATTAATATATGTTAATTATTTAATTTCAAATAGATTTGCATAATTCTTGTCTATGGAGGTTCTTAATTTTGAAAAATAATTGAAAACGATATTTTTTAAATACATTTTCTCATGTAAAAAACTAATTTATCAAATTCGTTGAGCAGAGCTTATTGTTGGAATTAGGCAAATTTATTTCAGGACGATCAAAGAGTATAAAGAATGTTCTCAAGAACACTTGATAATAAACTATCCAAGAGTAAAGTAATTAAAAATACGCGGAAACTTCTTTATTTGTGATCAAAGTCACTTACATCGTGTGTGCGTGTATGTGTATATGTGTATTACTTCCTTGCTAAACGCAACAAAGTATTGTGTTCGTTATATTTTAGAGCCAACACCAACACTATTTTATATAGTGTATTCATCTTGTCTTTACGATTTTTCTTCCAATTTATTTTCCATGTAATTGAGTCGAACTTTTCATCAGCTGGAAGTACTCGAAATCCTTCCTTCACTCACTTTTTTCATCTTTATTGTCCTTATCTCGTGTTCTTTTCTCTTTCCTGCGATCGGGTTTAAAAGCGAACAGTTGATCCTTAACGCGATCCTTGACGAGTTTCTGTGGGATTACCATGATGGTGGTGGTGATATTACCCAGAAATAGTACAAGGAACATGGCGCTAAGTACTGGTACGTGCCATGTCGCCTCCGGATGATATGCTAGTTCGTATAACGTATACGCGTTATAAAGCTGAAATAAATAACCAGCGAAGAGGAACGGCAGCAGAAATGAGAGACCACGCCACATCCACGAATGAAATCCCTCAATGGTGATGTCCATGTTGTCCCTCTCTCCCAGTGCTTTTAACCGATACAAAACGCCACGTTGGTACCGAAATTGCAAATACTGGACTACACCTGAAAAATATTAGTTAAAAGTTTAGCTATTGCATATAGTTGAAAATAAAATATAGAATTATTAGTTATATTTTAATTCTAGATATGAGCTATTTACCTTTATTATTTTTATACTATTAGATTTTTATGACAATTTTGCTGGAAATTATGCAATACTCACTGATATACACGTTGAACCACATGAATTGGTTACGAAACTGATACCACGGTCCGGTATTCGGCCAGACTAGTAGAACACCAGATACCACTGTTGAGAGAAAATGATGAAATCTCCACCATCCTTTAATTCTTGATCCATTTACCTTGAGTATACTTTCTCTTATCGTTAATGTACAATAGTACCAAACGAGAAGAAACATAAAACTAAGTTCTAAGGTTCTGAAACATAAAATAAAACACAATAGATTATAAATATATATATATATATATAAAAAAATATATATATATATATATATAATAAATTCAGTAATATAATAATAAAAATGTAATGTCTTATTATAGTATATTATAGTAATTTAAAATAGAAAACGCAACCTTGATTATAATAAGTTATGTGGATAATATCTCACCTTATATTGGTAAATAGATTTAATACAGATAATACGAATCCAATTACTGACAGCACTAATTTGAATTTCTCATATTCATCTTTATACTTGAATCTGAAAGCAATTATTATGAAATCACTCCAGATGAAGATATGACAGATACGATTCTTAACAGTAACATACTTGTCACTTTTATTTAATATGGAGACATTAACACTGCCTAGAATAATTTGTAAGTAAATGCCGTTTGATTTAGGTAACGTTTGCTCAATCTCCCTGAGCTGCTGTTCTCTCCTAGTCATAGATTTTCGCAATTCTTCTCGTGTTTCTTTTGTATTTAGCCTAGAAATAGATAAACATCATATAAATTATCATATATATATAAAATACTTTAATTTAAATAATTGCAGATATTCCAAATATTATCAATATATCCTTCTAAGTATTTAATAAACAAAAATACTAATTAATTAATATAATTAAAAGTTATCGATTATTCTTTTGAAGAAAAATTTACAGGTTGGACTTACTGTTTTAAGGACTTGGATATTACACCCATTCGATATTTCTGATGAGAGATACCTTTGACGCATTTTGCTTGCAGCTCACCAATTTCTTCTAATTTCAAAATATATTCCCTATTTAGTACCTGCAAATAAATAAGATATCCTTAGAATACAACAACAATCAATAGATGCCTTCCATTTAGCGATACAAGTGTTACTTTATCTTTGTTATTCATTGAATATCAAAAAAGATAAAAGGATACTTGTATCAACTTGGGTTATTAAATAGAAACCATCTTCCAATATCTTGCTTATCAACTATTAATAACGATCCAAGGTCATAAACACGACTGGATTCATGATTAATTCGTGATTAATTGATAATGATCACTTGTTTCTTTTTGTTATTTTTCATGGAAGTTTCCAACGATGTACATTACTTACGATGTACATTAATATCTTATATGATATTAGATTTGTTCGTTTTAGTTAAAGTTCTTACACAGTTCATTTTTCTTCTCTCCATGTTGGAGAAAAAAGTTCAGCTAAAAAGAACAGGCCTATACAGATGACACAATGTAACACAGTGAATCATTACATTCTTGTCATCTGTTAATGTTAAACAAAAATCAAACGATCACTGTGTTACAGTGTCGCTTGTTGGAAAGCTCCTCATATTATGTATTTTTTGTATTTTTATATTCGTGCAAATCAGATACATTTTATCTCATATAAGCATAAAAATCATACTTTATTTTTCTTTCAACTCTACTAACATTGCACGAGTTACTGGAATAATTCGCGAGTGTGCGTAGTAATACTTGCACTTTAAAATGAAATTCTGCAGCATCATTCGCAGTAATTAAAATGCAGAATTGTTAATCAGAGCGGTTATTAAAGAAAAATAACACAAGTCGCTCGCGCGTGATCGATTTATCGTCAAGGTCACGCGACATCACATGACATTGGTGAAATCACCAAACCGCATTTTTTTTTTCGTCTTCCTTCCGTCGTGCGGGTTGGCGTGATCCGCAAATAACGATACGAAGGGATGAGACCTAACCTTGTCGGCCCCGTTCTATGCTGAGTTCAGATTGCCACTCGAGTGTCATCCAGATATCATTCCATCCTTGTTTATCGTACATTAGATAAGGATGACATGACACCTGGGGAGCACCTAGATGGGAATCTGAACACGCCTCTACGATGACGACGAGGGATTCTCACCTCGAGTTCCTTGTAGTCTTGCGCTAAATCGTTCCATTCCTTGAGACAGGTGTCGGCGTCGATATCCATCGCGTCGAGGGAAAGAGATTCGGTCTCAGGGTGCTGACGACGTTCGTCGGGGTCGCAGGATGTAGGGAGATCTTAAAAGGCCTGTATGAATTTCCGAAAGGGAGATTTTAGGGGGACCACTGGTGGGTTTGTCCAATCTCTCTCTTCTTCTTCAACTCGCCGATTTCGGCCGCTAAACGGCTCAGTAACCATGCAGTCCAAGAAGCTTCTCAGGAGGGGACTCTCTTTTTTTTCAGCGGTTTCGCGACTCGCTCGCACTTTTTGCACCCCAGGAGTCCCAGGACACGCGGTGAACGCGCGTCAGAGAAAGAAAAAAAAGATGGTGCAGCAGGGTGCAGCACAGTGCAGTTCCACGGGTCGACGACGACGTTCCTCGATTACCTATGACTCCTACACGTCGGCCTACGTCGGCCTACGAGTTGCTACAAATAGCGGACGGAATACCAGCCAAAGTCACCGCGGAACAACTCAAAGCGAGAAGACGAATGCAGCCGATATCCGACGGATAGATCGAGCTATGCCTCGTTATCGATAATGACGCGATAACGTCGCGGTGCTAGCCGGTGCGAAGACCAGCGAAGAAGCGGCGCGTCCAAAAGTGTCGCACCGCGCGCCGCTAAACGCGCGCGAGGATTATTTGGATCGCCGACTATTGCCGAGCCTCCAAAACGGGGCACAAACGGGCCAAAGGATGGTGAAGAGGTCGCGCAATTCGCGCTCGTTGCGGGCGATATCGATACTTCGATCGAGACGGAAGATATCGATACTCCGTGAACTTGGCTTTGAATCACGATTTCCTCCCGCTGGAGAACGATCGTTGGGAAAAAATGCGGAAGCTTGGCAAAGAAAGCAAATCTTGGGATCGATCAAGCGCGAAATATATTACTTCGATCTTTAATAACACGCAACTGTAACATCAGGCACTTGATTAGTATGTTAAAATAGCGATCATTAAAGTAATCGTTATTAACGTGAGACAAACAGGTTGGTCGCGCCCATGGCGCGTTCGCTTTTTTTTTATCTCGTCTAACTCTTTTCTTCTCTATTTCCGTTCCATTTCGCATTTATTGGATTTTAACCGTTAATTCACACATTCGTGTCCTGCGAATTATTTCTTTCCTTTGGAATACTTATATAGGAGCATAAATTAATTAGTAAATTAATTAATTAGAATAAATTAATTATATGATGATCTCTATCTTTTCCTTTTTTTTTAATGTACAACTTTATAAATGTTTTCTAAAGATGTTAAAGTATGTGTAAGAATAGTAAATATGCAACGCTCCCACCTTCAATTTTTTTCGAAATGAAAAAAAATTTAATTGTATATTTTTACACGTAGAGTCGTAGAATATATTCCGAGAGGGAAAATTATTGTTCAAGTCCCGTTTTTTTTTTAATTTCAAATTTTTTACTGTCATAGAAAGAATAAAAAATTATGAGACATTATACTACATATTTACCATAAGAATCTAATTTATATTTATATACTTAAATATATACTTAAATTTATATACTTTATATACTTAACTACTCTATATACTTAAATAATTTTTATATACTTATTATAAACGTGATGAAAATTAATCCGGGACATGAACGACTCATATTGTAATAAAAGATCGCCACGTCATCGTGTACAGAAAGAGTTAACATTTGTTTCTTTTTGTAAAATTAATTTTAAAATCTTGATTGCAGATCTTGATTCGACACTTACACTTTATTTTTTCTCATTATAATTCTTAGAATTAGAAAAAGGTAAACAACATAAGTCAAACTGAAATTGAAGTTCATCTTACATTAATGGAACCAGTCAGGCCTTGTAATTAAGAAAAAAATAAAGAATTAATTTTATCGAGATAAAAAAACCGAGATTAAAGTTAAAGTACATTGGCAGATAATATAACAGATATAATTAGTCACCTAAAGTTTCGAAAGAGATAAAATTGGAAAAAAACAATTAAAAGAAAATGGAAGGAACGAATGGGATTTAAAATTCCATAACGTTTCAGAGCGCAAGAGACTTTTAACTCGAATTTTTCTACAAAAAGAGCATTAAAATTGCCTGAAATGACAATTACTTGATGGTTATCGAGCTATGAATGTGTCACGATTCTCATTCCTACTTATTTTTTAGAAGCAAAATAGAAGAGGATGAAGCGGAGAAAAAGGAGGAGAGCGGGTCTTGTTTATCAAGTATATATCAGATGCATCCGAAATCTCGAAGGACCCAGGAATGTATAGGCACGACATAAAACTCCACGTAGCTGATGTATTTTGAATAAACTTAGCATATCTCGGGATGTAATCGACATGTCTCTCTCTGTGCTTTCGACAAACCGTCTCAGCTATTTTGACATTCAGATATCTGCATCTTATTTATCGGTAGTATAGCCTGTGGGACGATTTAAAGTTTCTTGGAAAAATTCTCTTTTCTTTCTTTTCCTCGCATGGAAAGTGAGACGCTTTAAACATACCTGGACAGGCATTATAGAATTGTACGGAATAAATTGTTCGAAAACCTGAAAAGTAAAAATTGTAAATAAAAAATTTTTACTTTTTACGTTTTTATTCTAGAGAAAAAGTTATCTATATGATCGATCGATCTGGTTGCTTTATTCTCCTTTAAGAAACGTAAGGAATTTTAAACGCGCGGGCTGACGCTGAGCGCGAAATAATTTCTCTATAAAAAAGCGCGCGCTTAGTGTATTAACGATAATTAATTACCTTATATAGAAACCTGGGAAGCGGATTTGACCGCGTCTCTAATTCAAGACGAGAAGGATAGAATGGCGGAGCAGTTCCAGATAACGGTACCCGATCTCCTGCTGCAAGCCTGTCGCGAATTCAGTCGCATGGAAGGTTCATTTCGAACTGCTCGAACTACGCTCCGCTTCCGGTCGACACCGCTTCCGGCCGGTTTGTCAGCGACCGGCAACCAGGAGGCCGCATGCGCGATAGTGAGGATCGAGATGCTCACCAAGCGAGTTCGACAGTTTGACCCCTGAGAATCGAGCATAGTTTGTTAGACCGACACGTACGCGAGTTCATACGGAGCTCGAGCCTTCAGACACTGAGTATAACGAAGGAGGAGAACGAAGAAGTCACGCAAGTCTCAGTTTTCAAATACAACATCCTGGGATGAAGTGCAATTGCTCGATAATTGCGATATAATATAACGACAGAAGAAGAGGGATTAATTAAAATCAAATATCGGTGTGTACACATTTATTATTATATGTTATTAAAGGATATTTCCTTAACGATCTTTTTGAACTGCTAACCGGTTCGAACCGCTTTAATTTTTTTTTTTCATCGCGGACGAACTAAATTTAGCTTGCTGCTGTGAGTAAAATCTATTTAATTAAATTTAGTTAAATCGATCGTGAATTAAATGTATCACGATGGAGGAAAGATTGATTGCAAATTGAATAAAGTCACAGTATAACTTAAAGATAAAGCAAAACTTAATTGTTTAAAATCAAAATTACCGAATTAAAATTACATGAACTAAAATTACACGTATGTTTGAAAAATACCGGATTAAAGGATAGTTATCATTAACGTTGCACTTTGAGATTTGGTCCGTCGACGCTTGCTCAAGTGAAAGAGTTCATCTCTATCTCTTTTTGAGAGATGTTCATATTTGTTGTATGTATTATTGTATTAAAAATAGCAAAAATAGTTTTATAGATTATGCAGTTTCAATTGAGAGCGTAAAAGACAAAATTCCAATCAGATCATAAATTAAAAAAGAAGATACGTTATTAGCTGTCTAAATTTAAACTTTGACGTCGTTATTATAATATTTATTTAAAAAGAATAATTTTAACATGAAAATCACACATTTTTAATTGATTAGATTTTTAATTTTGTTAACAGCAAATGTTTTTTTCTATACTCGAATTAAACGGAAAATATAATAAATTAATGCTTGTCTGTCAATGCGTAATCTGTTTCAACATATCAAATATCCTATAACGCATTATATAAATTGAGTATCAAATAAAAAATATTTTACAAATGAAGACTATATCATGAATATGAAACGTTGATCATATTTCTTAATTAATTTCAAAATTATAAATTTGACTGCGCACGCACATAATTGTTTCATTTATATCATCCTGTTTTCTTAACTGCACTTTTTATCTCCCGATTATACCACGCCTTCCAACGTATGAGTTATGTTATGGATGGCTTGAAAGGGGAAGAAATATCGGTAAGATATCCGGATATTATGTGATACGTACTCCAGATACAAGGTCTTGTTAAACATTCGAAAAACAAATAACTCGACCGTTATATTACATTTAAACGATCAATATTGTATTTACTTATATTTCAAAATATTGGCATTACATGTCGCGTGATACATTAAACTGATGTTTTCGTTTACTTTTCTTTTTATAAAACTTGCTTATCCTCGTTTGCATACATTATTTGTCTTGTAATAATTTCGTTGACTTGAAAAAAAATTGCTGAATCGCGAAGCGCTGAATCGGTACGCGTATCAGATTCGATACGATCACGATCTGATTTCTCGTTGACAGCGAAGCTGCATATTCGTCTCTCGGGCTTGTATACCTGGTGTCGTCGAAGAGATGCATACTACACCAAGAACGTTACGAAGATTTGCGAGTTCGATGAACTTCCGCAATGATTTCAACGTTTCGTTTACCAAGCGCGGAACGATTCTTGGATCCGATTTGCGGTTTTTATTATTAAATGATAACGATGCTGCTCCCTCTTCGCGGAACATCACTAACCAAGGCTTGAGCTCCGTGTTATCGCGAACGTTCGCGCAAGATTTCGGCACTTCGGCGAGGAAGGAACCACCCGAGCCACAAGGTCTTCCCTGGCTCGGTTCAATATTATCTCTGACAATGTCCGGTGGTGCGAAAAAGCTGCATGAATACGTGAGCAATAGACACAAAGAACTTGGACCAGTTTTCAGAGACCAGATTGGACCAATCGAGGCTGTTTTCGTTAATTCGCCAGCTGATTTTCGTAAGGTATTAGCCGATCTTGCGGGTAACACGCCGCGGCACTTCTTACCGGAATCCTGGATGTTGTATAATGAAATTCGAACACAAAATCGAGGTCTGCTCTTCATGTACGTACGATGTTCTCCCATCGGTATGTTAAAGGAAAGAATTGTTATAAATTCCGATAAAATTAGATATCAGCGATGAGATTGTAATCGAAACGTTTGGTTTATAAGATACTTTTGTATGGAAATTTTAATTTTTTTAATAATCTTAATATAATCGAACTATTTTTCGTTCATCTGAATTCTCTTCTTCTCAGCGAAGTAACTCATTTTGTCATAAAATAATTTCGATAATGAAAGAACATTGCGCTGTTGGAATAGGGACGGAGAAGAGTGGTGGCATTACCGTAAAATCCTCAATAAAGTAATGCTGAAACCTGCACCAAAGATTTTTTTCTGCGGACCTTGTCAGGCAGCCGCCGAAAATCTCACGAAGGAATGGCAAGGGTATAGCCGAATCGGTAATGTAATACCGAATCTGGAACATCGGCTATATCAGTGGTCTATCGAGGGTAAATTTCGAGTCATTACATAATAGAGTTTTTTATGTAGCAACGTTTAACATTATTATACTTTGTTAAATAGCGTTATATCATTTAGTGCATTACACGCGCATTCGTCGACTATATAAAATTGTTTTAAAGGATTTTTCGCGATTAACAACGCGCGATGTTGATCGATATTCTTTTATAGTGATGTTAGGGGCCATGATAGGTTCGCGATGGCATGCTTGCGAACCACGGTTTCGTCGTGATATAGAGGATGTAGCCACGACATTACATCAGATTTTCACGTATACTTCACGTCTCTCAATGATACCAGCAAAGTTAGCGATGAAGCTTAGGTTGCCAGTGTGGAACAAA